AAAATCTGACCAAAGAAAAATCTTATCGACAAATATTCAAAATAAGCCATGCTTTTATTAAAGATCCAGTATATATTAAACAAAATTCAAACAAATCCTTTATTCAGAGGAACTATATGAAGAAATATACAAGTAATAAAGATGCAATTGATATAATGTATATAAATTAATCCTTTAAAAATTACTAGAGTGCCAGTTACTGTCGAAATTCGACAGTTTTTCTAGTTTTAGAAGCCTTGGAGAGGTTTTCTAACTTAACACGTAGCAAAACTTATACGGTACAAATTAACTAACCGGAAAATCTTCTGTTAAAACGTAACTAAACTTTTTTTATCTGAGAAGGTCTTTGGAGGACTTCGGCAGAACTTGGAATTGACCCGATACATTCAAGTTTATCGATAAATTTCAATGATTTGATACATATCGATAGTTCGATGAATGTCAAGAACACTAAAATTCGATAACTCAACAAAATTCGTTAACTCGACCAATTTAGATAACTGTGAAATTCGATGGCTCGATAAATTTCGGTAACTCAAAAATGTAAAAACTTATATGTATGTATAAATTTTTACTTTTGACATCTCCACATTTTTCGAAAACTATCTAAACATTTTGATAACTCGTTACACTCTGTTAAGATGATTAAATTCGATAAGCAGTGATAAATTTGAAATTTCGATAAATCGATATATTTTGAAAGTTCCATAAACTTCGCTTCGTTGAACCAACCAATTTCAGTAGATCAATAATTATCGATAACTCTGTAAGTTGAAAGAACTCTATTCATTACGACATACATTGATACAAAGACTTGACAAATTTCGTTAATCCCACACGTTTTTATAGCTCGATAAATTTGGACAACAGTATCCGTAAATTTGGACAACTAAGTTTCTGTGTCTATAAATTTCGACAACTCAGTAAACATTGATAATTCGATTCGACATTGAATAATTCGATACGTTGCGATAACATAATAAGCATGGATAAATTTCGATAATTATAAACTTCGATGATTCGATAAATTTCAGTAACCTTTATGGCTGATTTTATTTCGATTCCTATCGGAAAATTTCAACTCTGTTAACCTAATTCTTATGTATTTCTCATCATCTCCATTTTCGCCTTTATCTCAATTTTCGTCTTTATCTTCACTTTTGCCTTTTTTTGTCTTCATCGTTATCACTTGTTTCTTCATCTTCATATTTATCTTTATTTCAAAGTTTAATTTCAAATACGAAGTAAAACAAAATGCGAAACAGCTTAAATTAAACAGGTTGCAAAAACAACCATACACAAATATGGAAATTTTTAAACGACGATTTTCAACCAATTTCGAAGTTATAAACTCTCCTCATCTACAGAAAATTACCTTTCCAACGGTGTTATTGGTTTTGAAATCGGTAACTTTACTTTGGTCTTCATCTTTGTTTTTATCTTTAACATCTTTGCTTATGTCCTTTTCTTTTTCTTTTCACGTAGATGAGATGAGGTGCAATGACATGATAAGATGTGACGTGATCTTATGTGATGTGATAGGATGTCATGTCATGTGTTGTCATATCCTGTGATGTCATGTCATATGATGTCATATCATGCTATGCCACGTGATGTAATGCCATGTCATGTCATACGTTGTCATATCATGTGATGTCAAGTCATGTGATGTCATGCCATATAATGTGATGTCATATCATATAATGTCATGTCACGTGATATCGTGTGATGTGATATCATATTATGTGATGTAATATCATGTGATGTCTCTTTATATCATGTGATAAAATGTGATGTGATGTCATGTAATGTGATCACATTCCATGTTCCGATTAGGGTATCGATAACCCTGTTGATAACTGTGTCGATAAAAATACCGATAACAATATCCATAAACATATAGAAAAATACAACGATTGTAAAATCGATTAATTCATCGATAAATATAACAATCATCAGTATCGATTATTGTACCTATCGTTAACATATAAATGACTAAATCGATAACAAAATCAATCGCTTAATCGATTATTATACCGATAACAATATCCATTATTGCATCGATAACAATATCGATTATTATATCGATTACAATAGCGGTTATTTAATCAATAACAATATCGATAACAATATCGATTATTTTATCGATAGCAATATCGATTAACTTATCGATAAAAAATATCGAGTTTTATATCGATAACAATATCGATCTTCATCCTCATCCTTTTCCTTATCTTTATTTTTGCATATTCCTCTTCATTTTTACCTTAAAGTGTTTTAATTTACCTTGATCTTCGGTTTTGCCTGTACCTCTAGGCATCTTTGTTTTTTTTTTATTCTCAAACCGCTGAGAACCATTTCCATGTGCATTATTCCCCTTGAATTTGACAATTTACTCCCAACCAACCAACTGGCGCTAAAGAAGTTTTACTTCATAAATTCAAGAAATGTTCTTACCCTTTCAGTTACCCTAATTCTTATGTATCTGTCATTGTCTCGATTTTCGTCTTTAACTTCACTTTTGCCTTCTTTTTTTTACTTCATCGTTATCATTTATTTCTTCATCTTCATATTTATCTTTATTTCAAAGCTTAATTTCAAATGTGTAGTGAAACAACAGGCGAAACATGTCAAATTGAACATGTTGCAGCAACATCTATACACAATTCGAAAATGTTTAAACGATGGTTTTGGCCGTAATTTTCAACCAATTGTGAAACCAAAAAATGCCTTTCCAACGGTGTTCTTGGTTCGGTAGAATCGCCAAACGAACGGAGACAAAATTTATGTTAGCGTATTAATATATAGATATTTGTTGCATTTAAAAATTACATATTCAATATCTTAAATTCAATTACATTTGGTTTTTTAAAAATGTAAATTTTTGCTAATGTTGTCTATTATTTTCTCCAATCTGTCTTGTTAATCTTTAGGGATAAATTGCTTAAATTAAATTAAAGTTTATCCGCATTCTTTCATGAACTCACCTTGGTTAATAATTGTACAAAATTGTCTATTACTTCACTTATCTGGCTAGTTGCGTTTCATTCTTACCTCGTCCATTTTGCTAATTTGCTTTTTATGTGTTCGTAGTAAAATCGACCACCTGGCAGTCTGTCAGGGTTGAATTTCGCTGAAATTTATACGTTTATCCACCAAAATCGTTTGATAAAGTGATAAACTTTGGTTAAATAGATGTCCATACAAAGTTTGACAGTTCATTTATCAAAATTATACATTTATGATTTTATCAAGTTTATCGTTTTTAATGAAGGCCCCTGTTATATTGGCTACATTTAAAAGTTATATCTTCAATATTAGTTGCGTTCCAGATGCTTCAGGATTTGCAGGTTTTTACAGGAAGCCCTTCCAGGTGACCACCTTCCATAAGGTTTATTAATGGAGAAAACAGCCGTTCCTGCAAATCCTCTAAAACCTGCAAATCGTGAATCATCTGGAACGCAACTATTGTAATTTAGTTATATTTGTTTTTTTTTTTATGTAAATTTTTAGTATGTTTTATACTTGAAAATACCTGCACCAGGAACGTGGATCCTGACCTGCACAAGAAAAAATCTTTATTAATATTTGCACTTTCACTTTTATGGGGTGGTATAGTTACTTGTAAGTATGCAACGGCTGCACTTGACTAAATAAATCGTTGCAGCTGTAGATATGAGTGGACTGCACCAGCCAAACGTGGACGGATACACAGAGATCCTAGCACGCAAAACTGACTTGCAACAGCTGCACTTGCTGTAAAACGCTGGTGTTTGAATAACTTCGATACTCTGCAAAGAAATATGTAAATTATTGTTTTAATTCAAAATATTTCCGTTATTATTATTTTTTTTTTGCATACTTACATGAATTTGCGCAATAAAAAAGTCAATTTCCACGAAACAATCGATGAAAATATCGGCAGTGTTGCCTGTTTAACTTTTTATAAGAAGACAAAGGACAATATTTCACCTTGTATTTTAGTAGTAATTTCTATAAATCAAAAAAGAAAGCAACACCCTCATCTAGCACCTAATGAGCCAAGCCGGCTCCTAAGTGCAAAAGGCTTGCTGGGAGCCACTATGCCCGTCTCTGAGATAAACGATGGGGGTGGTCCATTCGCGATCACTCACAACAGCTTATCCCGAAAAGTTTTTAGGGCGTTGTATGGAAGATGTTTTTTCGTGTTTCCGAGGAATTACGTTATAATTGTACTTAAATCACACTGTACAAAATTGTACACGTACCAAATTGTCCAAAAAATCGTTATCGAATTTATTGATAACAAAATTAAATTTTGATAATCTCCACTTCTCGAAATTGGAAATTGAAGACAATAAATAAATATAAATATTGTGACGTAATATGTGTTCATATGGAATAGTAGCTTATGTCGAAAGGCTGGACCATTTTCCAAAAATTTCTTGAAAAATCACTTCTTTGCTAAAGAGCGATTGTGTATATCAATTTTGAACAAATATTGATGAATTCCTTAGCCACACTGCTCAAAAAATCTAAAAGTCCGGTACATAAAGAATATAAATTCAAGGACCTATTTAAGAAAAGTCGCCTAACTTCGACAATTGTTATGCGATTGTAATAAATGAGCTATCAGTTTATTTAAAAATAGATTTAATTTTAGATAGTACTTGATATTTTAAAATTGTGGAAATTATCGATGGTCAAACTTTAAAAAATTAAGATAGATATGGGTTTTTTATTTTACCCGATAAAAAATACCAATAAGCCAAGTCCGACAATAGATTATTATATACCATTTTAAAGGCCTATATATCCTCTTATCAGATCATATTTACTCTTTGAAATCGACCTTTAAATGACCTTTAAAAAATCTATAAAAATACGCAGTAATATTTCCCATAAAAACTAATAAAATTAGGGGTCTTGAAATTTCCGAAAAAAAGCATTTTCGATGGGCACCCTACTATACATGTTAATTAATTAATTTCATATTTATGAATTTTTATAATTTTCGGCAGAGAAAGATTCAAACAACAGCAGGAGGTCAGCCATCAAACAAATTGCATCAGGTCGCTTTGGGGTAACTGCTGCATATCTTGCCAATGCGGATGATCTCCAAATCAAGATGGCTCAAGGTGCTAAGCCTGGAGAAGGTGGGGAACTTCCCGGTTATAAAGTCACCAAAGAAATAGCAAAAACGCGACACTCTGTGCCAGGTGTTGGCCTTATTTCACCTCCACCGCATCACGATATTTATTCGATTGAAGACTTAGCGGAGCTTATATATGACTTGAAATGCTCTAATCCCAAAGCCCGGATTAGTGTGAAGCTGGTTTCTGAAGTTGGAGTCGGAGTTGTTGCCTCTGGAGTAGCAAAGGTAGTTTTTATTTTGAAATAATAGCTTTGTTTCTTAGCAGATAATTATCACAAATTATCACTAATTTGTGCTGGAAAGCGTTTCTTAACCCTAAAAACTAGCAGAAACTGGCGGCTCTCTCTGTCGTTCTTGCGCTCTTCTTTTTTGCCTCTCCTGCTGTAAAAATGAACAAACAGCTGTTGAAACTTAAACAAGTGGGGTTAAGCACAGTTACTTTTATTTGTTTCTTTCTGCATAATTTTGGTATTTTTTAAATACGAATGAGGAAATCATTAAATATTTATGAAGTATTGAAAAATGTAAGTATCTGTGAATACTTTTGAAAAATAAAAAGCAATTAAAAAACGCGCCAAGTCAAATACACCGATCAGCTGTTTACTAGTTTCTCATAGTTTGCGTTTATTAACTATTTCTTTATTTTGCTCTCTGTGAGCGTAATTCTCTCAATTTTCGCACTCTTCTTCTTCCTGATAATTATCTGCTAGAAAAGTAAAGAAACAAAGCTGATATCTTTACTTGATACATATTTTCGTATTCTTCCTAGGGCAAAGCGGAACATATAGTTATATCTGGTCATGACGGCGGGACTGGGGCAAGTTCATGGACTGGCATTAAACACGCTGGCCTTCCGTGGGAACTCGGTGTTGCAGAAACGCATCAAGTTCTTGTTCTTAACAATCTACGCTCAAGGTAAATTTGAAGAACTTACTTACATACGTTGCCCACTTGCAATTTCCTTATTAACCGACTTCCAAAAAAGGAGGAGGTTATCAGTTCGTCGCAATATTTTTTTTTTTTATGTATGTTACCGCATAACTGTGGACCACGTCAACCGATTTCGATAATTCTTTTTGCATCGGAAAGGTAGTGTCTCAGAGGTGGTCCCATCTGGTTTAGATCCGATCATTGGATCATGAAATATATATGTATACTAGCAGACCCGGCGAATTCCTCCCGCTCAAAATAAATTTTTTGTATTGAAACATTTTAGTACAACATTTCCACTGACGCCTTTATCTTCTAATATTACGGTTTGACGGTTGTGTGGAAGGCATATTTCCATTGCCGTCTTAAATAACCTAGCAAAAGTGTATATGCGTACAAAGATACGTAATAGTTCCAGTGCGTTTGAAAGGCCCGCTTTTCAAATAACCCAATTTTCTCTAAGGGTATGGGATTGATTTCATACATCTCCGTACCATGTTCGAGTACTCTACCTTGAACATTTCCGGAGACATGCAGTAAGGAAAATTCGGTTTGTATGGGAAGTGCCACGCTCCTTTTTCTAATAGCCCCAATTTTTCTTCATGATTATGCGATTGATTTTATATATGAATACTAAGTTCCAGTACTCTATATGAACGCTTCCGAAAATATGCAGTGTTAAAAATTCGGTTTATATGAGAGGTGCCACGCCCCTTTTCCAATAGCCCCAATTTTTCTTCACGACTATGCGATTGAGTTTATATATCTCCATACCAAGATCCAGTACTCTATTAACATGAACGCTTCCAGACATATGCAGTGTTGAAAATTCGGTTTGTATGGGAGGTGCCACGCCCCCTTTTCAAATAGCCCAAATTTTCTCAAGGGTATGGGATTGATTTTATATGTATATCTTGTACATACCAAGTTCCAGTACTCTACCATGAACACTTCCAGAGATATGCAGTATGAAAATTCGGTTTGTAGGGGAGGTGCCACGCCCCCTTTTTCATAACTACAATTTTTCTCCGTGAGTATGCGACTGTTTTCATATATCTCTATACCAAGTTCCAGTACTCTACCATGAACACTTCCAGAGATATGCAGTATGAAAAATTCGGTTTGTATGGGAGGTGCCACGCTCCGTTTTCAAATAACCACAATTTTTCTCCATGAGTATGCGACTGTTTTGGTATATCTTCATACCATGTTCGAGTACTCTACCATGAACACTTCCAGAGGTATGCAATTTGAAAAATTCGATTTGTATGGGAGGTGCAACGCCCCCTGCACCTAGCGGTATGAAATATACTTTACATCCGATTCTCATCCTACCATATATACACAAACAATTTCATAAAGACTGTTCGAGCCGTTTAGGAGGAGTTCGACCACTACCACCGTGACACGAGATTTTTATATACTAGATTAGGGCGGGTCGAAAATCTAATTTTTCTCAAATCCCTTGGTAATAGTAAAAATATATTGTATCATGAAGTCAACAACAAGCCTGCAAAATATTAGTATTTTATTTTAATTGTAAGAGCCCGCACATCGACCGCCAAGTGACCCACAGCACACTAGTCGAATAAGACTAATTCTTGTTAAAACTTCTGGGTTCAGCAAAAATCTTTGGTGCATATTATTAGATAATGAGTCCGTTAACGCATAAGATAAAGTCAAATATCATTTCTCGCAGCCCTTTAGCTTATCGTTAATCCCAAAGTTATCTTTTTTCAATAAATTTTTAATTGTTCTCTTGATAATTGCACTGACCTATAATCAAAAGATGTAAAGAACAGCATTAATATTGCTAGCGTGCATTTAGGTCGCTGGTTCCAAATATTCTAATCTTTTTTGATATTAGCTATAGTTTGCGATTTTTTGCAAATTTAGGCACAATTTCGGTAGCTCTTATAGAAAAGCCATTATTTTCCATCATCGTGGAAAAATTTTGTTTATGCAAATGAGTATGGAAACCCCGAACAGGCACAACTCCTAGAAACCCCAATGTTTACTTATGTTTATGCATACAATATAAAAATTGCAAATTTAGGAAAATTACAAAAAAATTTTTTCAACGTTTTTTTTATTTTAAAATAATTTGTTTATAATCTGAACGATTTTCATCATATTATTATCATAAATCAGTAACAGTAAGTCTCGCCTTCAATTTGGTAATTATTACGTACCGATCGATTCACATTTACCAAAGTTATATCGAAAAACTTAAGTGGATCTCCAGTTTTGTTCTAAAAAAATTTCTCTTCTTCTTTAGTAAAATAAAGTGCAAGTTTCAAGTCGCTAAAAATTACCGTTGATTTTTTAGAATTTTTTTTGTCGAGGGTGTTGCGGATTTTTTTCCATGTAAAAATATATTTTGATCATGTATTATATGGAAGAAAATGCGCAACACCCCCCACAAAAAAAATTCTAAAAAATCAACGGTAATTTTTAGCTACTTGAAACTTGCACTTTATTATACTAAAATTGAATGGGCTACAAAACTGCATACCCGAAAATTTTCTAAATATTCTAATTAAAAATTTTGAAATTTTGAGACAATTTTTTGAAGTTTGATTATTTTTTTTGCAATTTGTGCAAGATTTTCAACTTTTGTTATTGTGGTTTCTGAAATAGATTGAAATATATTTTAAATGAAAATTATTAAAAATAAATAAATAAACATAATTTGCAAGCAATATCGTTTTGAATTTCGTTGCTAATTAGTTGCACGCATCTGTATATACTAATTGTATCAGTTTTAAATATATTTCATTTAATTTATTATAAAACAAAGCATTAGAAAATAAGTGAGTGGCTATTAAAAATGGCATTTGATAAGATTTTATATGCAGCCTTTTTTAAGGTTTAATGGGGTGAATTTTATTAAGCAGAATCAATAATAAGGGAAAAAATTTACATGTAAGTTTTATTTTTTTTAAAGATGTAATAATTATTCTTAGCTCAGTCTAATTTCCAAATGAGTTCTAGGTAAATATCATATTTACATACTTCATATACTTACAATTTAGTTTCTGAATTTACACTTTTTCGAGACAAAACTTATATTAAATAATTTAAATAAAAAATTGCAGCACCAGAATGAATGTTAATTTAAAAATTCACATTTACAAGGCTTATTTCTGCGGTATTGGTATTTTGAAATATGGGTATTTCCAATCTGGCGTTACGAAGAGGATTTGGACTTGGGTTACAAAATTGCAAATTCTGCGAATTGGTCAAAACTGTTTGTATAAAAGTATTTGTTGTTTAGATGTAAAAATCTTTTCTGGTTTTTGTTTAATCAGCTGAAGTATCTGGCGTTACGGTACATGACGTTACGTTACTAAAATTATCATTGAAAAAGTAGTATTTTAGCGGGAAGGAAACATGCATTTTATATCGAATATACTTTTTATTTTGACATCAGCGCCACCAGCGGTTGCATTGTATGCAAATCTATGTCATATTATGTTTCAATTAAACATACCAAATGTGGAACTAATCAGAGCATAAATACGGGTTTTCAATCTCGACCACCTAACGAGATTATTTTCGGCAAAAATGTTTCTGCTTACATAACCAGTATATGTATATTTACGGTGATCATATTTATGGGAGCCGAATACGGGACAAAAAATAATTTTGCTAATTTTTTCCACAAAAACTTAGAGATCTCAAAGTCGTCTTCAATGATCCTAGATGTTTAGCCCTGAAACAGCATCCTTGTAGTAACATCACAAATTTGTAGGAAATTTTTCTCGAGATTTTTACCCCGCAAAATTTGTTTAAAAAAATCGTGACATTTTAGTATAATAAAGTGCAATTTTGAAGTACCTAAGACTTACCGTTAATTTTTGACAATTTTTTTTTATTGATGTTGGGCATTTTTTTCATACAAAGTAAATATGTTCGTCCATTTTTTTAAAAGAGAAGCAAATGAGCAGCACTTTATTATACTAAATTTTAATGAGGTACAAAAGTTAGAAGTTTAACACAGTGAGAAGGGAGACCAGTATGTTTGCATGTACATATCGTCGTTTAAAGTACAAAACCGCGTATTATCATTCTGGAAAACCGCGTAACTGACATTTGCGGCCAAAAATTGGATTTGCTCGCACAAGCTCTTGGCTCATTCCTTAACCATTCGTCCTGAAATATACTAGCCAGAAATGCGACTGCTTTATAAAAAAAAGAGAACCATTTTGAAATATGAGTATTTTTACTCTCTAGAAAATAAGTTATGCCACCTCACACACACGCTTTTGTATAGCATGGTTGTAAGCCATGCAGATTCCGCAAAATGCTCCGGATGGTTGTCCGGAGTATGCATCAGACTACGCCGAGCATACTTTGAACTGCCATCAACTTAAGTTTTATTACATGGCTGTTGAGAAGTACATGTGCAAAACTTTCATGTTTCAACAACAAAATGGACTTATGCGTCTGGTGTTATCAGTCGCGCCTAAACAGTATTATATGGCTTTTCTTAGGAAAAGAGCTTTACTTTCGTAAAAAATAATAAACATTAAATAAACTAAGGAAAAATAGCCAAACCTTGCTAAAATGTCGAGTCCTAATTTGTAGTATTTTGGTCACTGTATATATTCCTCAAATCGAAACACAGGCATTCAGATTAGAAGATAATAACTGGTTATGGAGAAAATTACGATCATATACCAACATTCGTGGAGTGCAACAATGCCCGCGGAAGTAACGCCCATGGGCTTTATTTCCTGAAAAAAAGAAATAAAGCCCACGGGCGTTATTGCCTTTTCGAAAAAGAAATTAGGCCCGCGGACTTTATTGCCTTTTGCCGGTGGGCATTATTTCCCTTTCGATATGGCAATAACGCCCGCGGGCTTTATTTCCTAAAAAATAACGCCCGCGGGCTTTATTTCCTAAAAAATGAAATAAAGCCCGCGGGCGTTATTTCATCTTTATTGTGGCTCTTGTCTCCAGTTTAGAATATGTACATCCAA